AGGAATGTCGCTACCTTAGAGCTCGCGCCAAGAGGTGAACATTCGAGTATGACGCCCACGCCAGACTAACATTGGTAAAATACTGTCCTGCTGCTCGAAGGGACGAACACCAGTCCTCCTGCTCCGGTGAATTGACTCAAGCTTCGTATCACTCCTATGGCAATACAGGACCGTTCACTATATTGGCATGGAAACGAAAGTCGACTGCACAGTACATACCCGTACGCCGCCTCTGGAGGTACACAACACAAACATATAAGTACAAGGAAGATATGCATGGGAATTCAAAACGCGCACATTTGAAAGCATCCCATTCTCGTTATAAATACGTCCTCCAGCTTTCCTTGATAGGAACAGGATAGGAAAAGTGGCAAGACGAGAGTCACGAGACCTTGTAGAAAAAACACCATCAGTGCCCGCATCATTGAAAGAAGAATATCCACAACACACCAGAGATCACAAACTACAACAGACACATCCAGCCCCTCATCCTTGAACATTTTCATTCTCCTCAACAACTCAGTATCCCCCAAATTTGCATGCAGTTCCTTCACAGCTAGAACATCGATAGCTTCAAGTTCGCAGTTGTCATAACGTAACGTCACAACAAGCTCTATCCTCACTGTCTAATCCTCATCGTGCCCTCGGGAACCCGCCACCTCGACTCCACGGTCCTAATCAACACGTTCTCCACATGCTGCTGGAGCGTGAGCCAGTGCTGCACGAAAGGGAAGTTCAGGAATGCCGTGGCGTCCGCCCTCAGCGTCAACATCTGCAGCTCCGGGAACGCGAGCACACCCTCCGCTCTATCAATGATCCCTGCAAGACCCGCATAGGGTACATCAAGCACCAATCTCGAGACATGCGATACAAAGGTGAGAAACTCCCGTAGAGGCGCTGAGAATGTTGCTGGATTCTTCGGATCGTCCTCAGGGACGAGGTAGAGCTCCTGTAGGCTGCACAGTCGGGATCTGTCCATGAACGCACGAAAATCCTCCCAGTCCGTTTCGGTGAACGCGTCATTTTGGAACGAGACCCGGAGCGCAAACGTCTGGAGAGCGGGGCATTGCATATATGACAAGATGACGAGGGGGCTGCGTATGGCGAGGAAAGTAAGGCGGGGGAAGACGTAGATAGAGGAGGGTGTTCGTCTTTGAAGAACAGAGTTAGGGGAGATCCTGTAGGGGTTGTCTTGGTAGCTGCCCGTGAAGGAGACAAGGTTCTGACACTGGGATAAGATGTCAATGATGTAATGATAGTTGTCGGGCCCCAACTCAAGCTCGAGATGGGTAATTTGAGACCAAGGTAAGAGAATGCAGTGTGGTACATTGGCAAAGACATTCTTCGCCTTGAGGACAACATGGGTTAGGCGAGGAGCTTTGGATGCGATGTCGAAGTGAACAGGCTCCGAATGTTCGTAGTAATGCCGCGTAGTCAGACACAATTTTGTGAGCATAGTCATCTCTGGCGCGTCTTTCAAAGCACGCAAGTTATCGAGGTCGCAAGTCAGTCGAAGTTCCGATAAACGTGACGCGTGATGTGCCAGGATACTAGCACTTTCGGGCGTGAGGCTGAAGACAAAGACCTCCAGAGGAGTGTTTCCGGACCGGTTCAAAACCTCTTCGAGGATACGCCCATGGATTGAAGCCTTTTGCGAAGAACTTTCACAAACAAACGAGTTCCATAGACTGGGGTTCTGTGATACAACCGCTCTCCAATGCCTGCACACCTGTCCGAGAAGCCATGGCATTCGAGACTTGAAGATACGAAAAGGCTTCTCGAAAGTCAATGAGAAGATGTAGGAAAGGATCTCGGGGGGTAGAGACTGGACGGGAGGGTTCAGCATGATGTGCGCGTTCAGGACGCCTTCGGCTTGGCGTGATTTTGTTCGGCTGCCTGCAGAGCAGTACGGAGGCGAACGACTCGAGCCTCGGCGTCATAGAGCTCGACGCGCACTGCATCGATGAAGTTCTTTATCTGCGGGCGAGCAGCGCTGACTTGTTCACGCGATGCATGGCAATCGAAGAGACGTAGCAGGGCGATGGCGCGTCGTACAGGCGGGGCAAGACGTTGGTGGAATCATAGCCACAATGAGGACAACAAAATTCTGTTAACAATGTCAGATTTGGCCAAGACCAAACGTGGAAAAATTCGCACCTGGCTGCATAGGCATTTCGGAATGTACGAGAGCTTCAACTGTTCGCGGGACGTGTGTCGAAAAGACAGTTCGCCACAATGCGAGATGGTGGTAGTACGTGACCAAGTTACAGTTGATCTTGTGCATCACTTCACTCTCGGACTCTCCTAAAAGGGGACTTTACTTGAAGCTCGCTCGGCCAAGAAAGGCAGCTTCAACATTTTGAGGCGTCTAGTATGTTGTTCACCATTTGTAATGCAGAAACCAATGATAAGTATTCTGATCGGGCTTCTGTCCAGTGTTTAGTACTTGCTTTCATCCCTGGCACTGTGATCTTACTAGACCGTTCCGGTTTCAGGTGGGCTAAAATCAGAAGAAACTACAGCTGAAAGATTTAGTTGAGTACCCACCTGTCAGTCTTTCGTTCTGCATCACAACCGGAAATTGGCGGAAATTGGCTCCGACAGTGGACCTCAGTGGACACGCCGGCAATCAACGCTGCCTGTCACAACCACATGATGCTTGTCACGAAACACGACGCGTCTTGTGACTCTTGTTTTCCACCATCATCACGGCTTGAAGCAAAATCAGCTTGGCCAGTTCCTTGTGGGCTTTGGCACCCTCAACACATGGAACTCTTCTATCAGCTGCCTTTGGATTCAATCATCCAAGTCTCCCAGTTTGCGCCTCCGGAATGATTTCTTCTGTACGGACTTCGGAAGATTTTTTAGAGGCTCAACGCAGCGGCACCTAGTGGCACAGCTCGATACTGACTTGGACGGCGTTCGGCGGCGAATAGCTGTAACTCCCAGAAACCTACTCTCTTCGATGCGCATCTTTTCATCGCATCATGAATATAATCTTCTGCTCTTCTGTCTTCTACGGCGACTTGGCCGCCATTCGACTTACACTTAATCATAGCCGCCGCCTCCCCGCTCATGCCTCTACGTCTTGATCATCTTCATTGTATACGACTAACAGTTCACGAGCGCTAACATCGGATGACTTGGGAGGACACGAATCCTTAGTAGTCAGTGTCCATCGATTTGTTCTTCCATGTCATCTACGCCCCTCGGAGAACCGTGGTTATATTCCGTAGGTGTATGAACATCACTCTAGAAACGTGCTAAGTATTGCTTTGACAGTGAGCAACAGATCACCAACCAAATCACTGTTTTGAACAACGCCTACGTGAACAGCAGTCTTACGTTCACTTTGGCCAATAGAATATGTCCAGAATGCTGATTGGTTCTCGAATGCTGGTCCCGATTTGTAAGCCTCCTTCCAGTTCTTCATCGCTACTTCTCTCAATTGTGTTGCAGCGCCCAGCAGACTGAGATGAAGGGGCAGCTCCGCCGCCGCGGTGGTGCATCGACATTGAACATCTACTCCGTCGGCTTCGAGTCCGGAAACGGGGCAGGCTGTTGGGCTACGCAACCTTCCCTTACAGCTACGCGGGCAACCCTTCAGATGACGGTATCGTAATCCTCCATTCCAGCCTGCCGGGGGGTACGACGAGAAACTACAACGAAGGACAGAATGCCACACATGAAGTTGGGCACTGGGTACCATCTTTTCACCAATTTGCGCGCTTTACGACTGACTAATCGGTACGCAGGTTGGTCTTTACCACACTTTCCAGGGCGGTTGTTTCGGTAGTGGTGATGAGGTTGCTGATACACCTGCCGAGGGTACGCCAAGTATGTCTTTCAGCGACTTCTAATCTTCTAGTCGTAGACTGATCAGACAATAGCGAGCGGATGCCCCAAGAACAAGGATACCTGCATCCTCGCTCCGGGAGTTGACCCGATCCGCGACCATTGTTAACCCCTCATCGATTGTGTCTGATGCAGATTCTTATAGACAACTATATGGATTACTCGGACGACGCGTGCATGACTGAGTTCACTCCAGTCTCCGGGCCAGGTTGCAGGCCCAGATGCGCACATACCGCGGTGTGGACGCTTAACGATATTTAAATCCAGTCATTCTAAATATGCTATATATGAATAAACGACTCCTGTTTGCCATGGCAAGAAGAGGTGCTAGATGGCCCAAAATGTGTCTACCAATTTTATTTCTGACGAACGCTGATTGAGATTTGATTTGCATGTATTCTAATTCCACCGTCACACTGTTTTTTTTTCACATCGTTCTAACTTGTGGTGAAAGTGCACGGAGGCCGGCACAAGAACCGGCATGTAGCCTCGGTCTGCAATTTGGTCATGTACTGACAGTACTGTTGACATGACTGCTCGGTTTGTCACTTCTTTTTGTTCTCTGAGTCTTTCGGCGAGTTGATGAATAACAGCGAAAAACGGTGAAAGAAAAACACCTCTCAGCTCTGACGGACCCGACCCAGGAGAGGGCGCACCGCTGCGCCACATCACGTCCAAAACGAGTGCCGGTATCGAAACCTTTAACAGTTTCAATTTTTGAATCGGGGCTTCTGCTAAGACTGCGCCACGGACCAGGTCCTAGTAACCTAGTTTACTCCGCGAAGTCGCGGACCACTTAGGGTGGTATACACCTCGGGTTTACTGCGGTTCAGTATCAATACGGTATTGAAACCTCGGCCGAGGTATCAGTACAGTTTCGATACCAACACGTGACAAATTCACGTGATGGCGTGCTGACACTCAGGCAAGCTGAAAGTGGCGGGATAAGGGCGGGCGAGGGCGGCGGAGCGGTGCGCCACATCACGTGGTAAAAGCATGTGCCGGTTAAGAAACCGTTACTAACAGTTTCAAAACCAGGGCCTCCTGGGGGGTCAGTATCAATACCGTTACTAACACCCCCGGAGGTTTACTGCGCCACCCTATCATCTATGCTAACATGTAGCAAAACAACAAGTCAAAATGAGTGCATTAAGGGGGAATCGAACCCCCGGCGGGTCGACGATGCTCTCAATCAATTTATGGCAACGACCCAGGTTACCACTACCCATTAATGCTAGTAGGCCAGGCCGGCTGCGATACCAAATAAATATCATCCTTGCCGTATTGGTGCAAAACTCCTTTGTCCGTATGGACCCCTTAGCTTCCAACTGTCATGAGCACTGAGTACATCCTGGTTAATGACTTCATGTTTTGCCGCAGCCACGGTGGGGAGCTGTGCAATCAATGCAGCTGTGACCATCGAATGTGCAACAACATAAGAATCGAAGAGGAGCATCGTTGTGACGACTCGCGCGTCCGTTTTGCGAGAGCTTGAGGAGTCGGTCAGGTCGAGTGCGAGCTCTGTAACTCTGAGCGCTGAAGAGAACCTGTCACCCAGGTCTGGGTCCTTGCCGGGGAAATGGAAGCAGTAATGGGTGCTCAGCCGGGTTGAGTGGGCATTAACGCAGCCTCATACGAGACCGCACGGCGCGTCCAAGGGTGTCCGAGTGTTCCACAAAGTAAGAGAACAAGATACGGCAATGTAAGCTAACGTACTGACAAACATGTACACAACAAATGTCATGCTACGAATCCTTACAATACCCCCCACATGTGAGTCAGGACATGCGAGAGGAAGAAAAAGTAGTCGGGGTTGCCCGACAAAAAATTGGCCAATGTTCTGTAGTCGTCCTTCATCATCTGAAGGACTGTACTACATGCACCAGCAACCATCATCACCAGTCCCAAGTCTCCAGCTCTCCCTTCTCCTTCTCCAATTCCGATGCGTTCACGATTTAGACGATACGCATGACCAACATCTTCGGTGTGTCGTCAACGGGTCCTGTCATCGTCCTCCACAGACTCAGCATCAGAGCCCATCTCGTTCCTTCATCTCCTCATCATCGTCTCAGTGCTGTCACCTCCTACGCTCATCACCATCATTACCACCTTCCGTGGTCATTCGGAGGTGGACATTCCACCTCCAAGTCTAAGCTCAACACCTCATAAACAACATCCACCCGCCCTCCCTACACCCCCCATTCTTTACTCACCGTCAACTCTGAGAGAAGATCTCGATCAAAGAGACGGTGTGGAAATAATCCACAGCGGAGATTTAAGGGGAGGGGATAGGTGGGTAATTCATCCCAGAGTGGCGTACACCATCAGAGTCGAGCGAAGAAGCTTTCGACCTGGGTCAAGTGGCTGCTGGCAACATAGAAGTCTTAGCCTGGGTCAAGTCGAAACACCGAAGTCTCGGTCCAAAGGTAGGTGCGAAAAGAATGCGAACATTGCATTACGGCTAAGGCTACATGGAGGTACCGTTCCAAATATGCAGGATCTAATCTCCACCACAGTAAGGACTCGTCTCGCAGACAGTAGACTTCAGTCACATCCTGGGCCTTCGCGCAGGAAGCGGTCGCCACGGCCATCTTTCGACTGGCGGGCAACACATGTTCCTGTCGATATGCTCTCAAAACGCGACTCGCCGGCGACTTAGAGCCTATGAACTCTGAATCGCCTAGGTCATGGCTCCATGCACGGGGAGAGTCCTCATCCATTCCAGGATTGTCGTTGAGATCGTCTCAAGCCTCGTCATCAGCTTCCACTTCCTCTTGAGTCTTCCGTGGATCCAACATTGTATGGTGCCGACACTGGGAGCTACGGGTCTGGCGCGCAGATAGGAGATGCCAGCAACGACACGGACACCTGTGTGGAGGGTAGCGGATAAGCCGACTGTGTTTTAGTTGGGGAACATATCAACTCCAAGGAGGACACGGGTGTTGGGTGATGTGTTCTTCGAGCTTGACTGAGACGTCAGGGCTGCTGCTGGGGTAGAAGGTGAAGATGGGCAGAAGAGGACGTTGAAGGAGCAGTCGGGAGGTTCGGACTGGCGTCGGGTGAAGTTCTAGTTGCTTGCTTTCGCTTTGGTTTGAAGATGGCCGGCATGAGGGTTTCCAAGGCGGACGCCAAGTTGTCGATAGAACGACTGCCCGCTTTCGGCGGTGCGAAAGACATGACAAGTGACGTTCTGACCAACGTCGACGTGTCGCCTACGTATCCACGGGTGGGCAAAGAATAAAGAGGGCTGATGGTCCGGGGTCACTTGTAGTCGACAACGGATCTTCAAGCGGTGACGACCGCGAGGACAGGATTTCGGCTTCAATTCAGGGATTCCTTGCTTATCTTGGGGCGACGCATCTGCAGTGGCTGATGCTTGAGTGGGATGGAAGAGCTAGGGATGGTGCGGGAGTGCGAAGGCTGGTGAGAGTGACGGCGCGACGTGAAGAATGCGATTAGTAGGCGACGCGGTGGAAGAACCGATAAAGGTCCAACAGCTGGGTCGGCTAAATGTGTCGCAGAACAAATCCGCAACGTTTAGCGGAGCACTGATGGTAAATGGGGAGAGGACGGGGTGGTGGAAGGAAGAGGAGCGGGTTGCGTGCGCTGAATGGTGTTCCAGCGCTCTCCGACGAGCAAACTCGTAAGGGAATCCGTCGGGTTTGAACGAGTAATCGTCAAACAAGGTCGGAGAGGCGGTCGGCCAATGCTGGACTCGGCGCTCGAAATGATGATGGGGTTGACCACGACCGGCTCCTATAGTAACCCTCGCGGTGGGCTCCATTGTGACGACTCGCGCGTCCGTTTTGCGAGAGCTTGAGGAGTCGGTCAGGTCGAGTGCGAGCTCTGTAACTCTGAGCGCTGAAGAGAACCTGTCACCCAGGTCTGGGTCCTTGCCGGGGAAATGGAAGCAGTAATGGGTGCTCAGCCGGGTTGAGTGGGCATTAACGCAGCCTCATACGAGACCGCACGGCGCGTCCAAGGGTGTCCGAGTGTTCCACAAAGTAAGAGAACAAGATACGGCAATGTAAGCTAACGTACTGACAAACATGTACACAACAAATGTCATGCTACGAATCCTTACAATCGTCGGATTTTCGCAAAGCTTGGACTCGGAGCTGATTTTGACATAGAGGTGAAATAATACTACTCCTTGCACGAGTGCCAGCCAGATTTACCGTATCCTAGGAGCGCAAGCCTATCCTTGTCTATCCTCTTGGCGCTATCACATCCGGTCGTAAAGATGCCGAGGGTAATGACCTGTACCAATGCAAGGAGCACGGCAGCATAGATTGCAAGAAATGTTTTGACTGGCCGAAAGTCATCATTCGCCAAGCTCAGCGAAAACCTTCTAAATCTGAAGGCCGCATACAGAATACTACAGATCTTATGGGACTCCTACAATCTATTGGCATCGAGCTCCCTGCATCCACGAAACTGTCAGAAGACCACTTGGAGAAGAAGTTCGCGACAGCGTTGACCCTGTCCCAACACATCTCCTCAGGTCAAATTCCCATCAATCCTCTGACTCTGCCTATGTGGAAGGTGAGCGACGATATGACTCGGAGTCCTATTCACCCCTAAAGACGTACTTCTAGACCGAGAACGGAAATGTTCCTGCCTCGCAAGCAATTTATCGAACCAGTCACGCTGAATTGACGAAAAGGATGGAGTTGCCTCTTGATCACTCCTTCCCTCTTTATGAGAACTCATTCATGGACGCTCGAGGCACCTTACTGGAACTGACCAAGGCTTTCACCGAACTTGGCAAAGATGTTGTTATTCTCAATGATCCCAAAGGTGTCGAGGCCATATGCATTCGGGTAGGAGCAAACATTCGTCGCAACTTGCCTGCTGATATAGTGATATGCAGATTCTCGAGATCTACGAGTTGAAAACCGACACCCCCCTTGTTGCCCTTTTGTATCTCAGCGCTGACAAATCGACACCTCCCGAAAATACTGCCAGCTTTGCTCACTATCATATGCAACGGTTGGGACATATGCCTCAGATAATGTGCGCGCAAGGAGAACAGGCTTTACTGAGGAAATTGTTGTTCCAGAATCACCAGCGCCTCTCTTCAGAGTTCCAACCTGCCAAACAGCGCTTCGAACAACCATTCAAACCGTCTTTTCTACTTCCACTGAATCCACTATCTCAGATCGACATTGGGAAACTCTCCCATACCGGATGCGAAGTGTGTGGTGCCAAAACGACTAGCCGGTGTACACAATGCTTGATGGTGTCGTACTGCGGGAAAGGTAACTTATATGAACCAGGGAAGCATTATCACTGAACAGTTTTCAGTATGTCAACGAGAACATTGGCCAAAGCACAAAGCATTGTGCAAAGCGATGAAGGCCGGCACTTGGATTCCGGTCAAGTTCCAGAAGTACATCGTTATCGACGGAAAGAGGATGGATAGCGGGATTGCCAACACCGCTGGTCCCTTGGACATGGACAAGGTCGTGTACAATGATCAGGAAGATAGTAGCCCGCCTCCCAACACCCATGGCGATCGTCCTTTCCTTGTCAAGATCCAAAAACTGAAATACGCGCCCGCCGACGCGATATTCAACCCAAGCAGTCGAACGGATGATCTGCATTTCATGACAGATAAAGCAGGAAACCCCAATATCCCACATCCAGATGGTCTTCTTGTGTATGATCGCTCGAGGCCTTTCTACGCGTTCGTGATGCAGGCTGAAGACGCCAAAGCCTACGGAGTGTTATCAAAAGAAATTGCAGCGCGGAATCACCGGGACAAGATATACAGGTGGGCGAAGCGGAGTGGCGATTTTGAATTCAGTATTTGCTGGGACCGTGCTCCAGGTGAGCCGGCGTGGTGAGAACACCATACGCGCTAGTACACGTACCGAGTCACCTATGTGAATGTCAAGAGTTATATGTTATTAGATGACGATGGCCGCATTTCATCAGCAGCTTTTGACCAGGCGGCGTCGAACAGAGGAGGATCTTGGAGGTAAGAGCAAAGCAACTACGGCTTAGTCGGCCCGAACGTCGATCTTCAAGTTCTGTAAATGAAAGGGTTGCCTTTATATTGCTTACCACCATGCCATTTGCAGAAAATATCACCGTCAACAGATTCATGTTCTGTCAGGAACATGGAGGCGAATTCTGCAATCAATGCTTCTGTGATCACCGCCTGGGCAACGCTTACATGATTGAAGACCAGCACCCCCGCATTTTCGCGAAACTTGGTCCCAAGTTCGAT